ACAAGATGGAGATAAGAGTGTTAAAGTAGGAACGCTTACATTTTGACAAGGACAGTCCATAGCTGAATACACACAGACACAATAATCCCCACAGCCATGAAGCTGTTGTTCTCGCAAGTACTGTAAGGGAGCATCTATTAAGGCTAATATCTGGCCAGTGCTGATGTTTACGTACTGCAACAGGCACCCGTGTCAGGCCAAGTTAACCGAGTGCAGGCCTGGACAGGTTCATATCGTAGATTCTACTGAAGTCATCCATGCCGAGAAAGGAAGTTGGGTTATCTGGTTCGGGTCGACCACTGCACCCCGTCAACACATACACTATCACCGGCCTATACGATTGCCACATTGCGGGGCAATATACACACACATATAAAGAGTGTATTTCCACACTGAAGACACATAGACAATGCATTCTAATCCTATTACGTCTTCAAATGCTGTCGACTCTGCTCTGCCTAAAATGGATCTTTATTGATTACGTCTCACGTGCTTGCCTATACGGAGTAATGCTGCCGTCTCGGCCAAAGCTAATTCCATGTGCTGTAGGCCACTACGGTTTGAAGTATGATTATATAAAGCAATAGTACTTGCGATTTTACATTACAACCGAGAGTATTGTGAGATCGTGTTCAAAGAAACAGGATGTTAAAAAGTAACAATAGGCACAGCGGGAGACAAATTAAGCGCATACATTTTGCATTTTTAGGGGTTCCTTTCTTACAATATCTAAGCACGAGATTTAGCAAATATGTCAAATAAAGTATGTAATGCACGATGAAAATTATAGAAACTAAGATAAATATAAAAGCATTCCCGTAAAAAAAATCGAGTGGCAATGATTTTTAAACAACAACAACAACAATACACTTGTAAAGTGCCACAGGGGTATGAATGACACATTTTTGTGCTCAATTATACGTGATGTGTGCCGGAAATAAAGACTCTACTGACAAAGAGGTCCAACAAAACGAAGGCAACAACATCAATGTATTTTAACCTTTGTAAAATAAATGCTCAAATAACATAAAGTTGGTCCATCCATTAAATGGATTTAAGTGGCTAACATTTCTAATTCCTCTTCTGGTCACACGATGCTGCTTTTAAAACACGATAAATTTTTTCAAATCTTCATTCCGCATAGGAACTTAACCTCATGCCAGTTGTCACCCCATTCTGAGTGATGAAAGTGGTAATGCGTTTGTAATTTGACTGCAAGCCAGTGCACTGTGTAACCTCAGAGCCATTTTTTGCAACATTTTACTGCAAATGCATCGCCAACGAAAAACCAAAACCAAAATGTGACACTGAATGACATTTGACTTATTAACTTCACGTCTAAATTATGTTGATGGTGTAAATACCAAACTACCCAACACATTCGTTAAGAACACTGCCTCAAAAGGAAATATATAATAGGTGACATTTGGGCAAGAAGGGCCATTGCCCAAAATGTCGCCCATTATATATTTTTTCTCTTAAGGTAGCACTATTGACAAATGTGTTGAGTTTTTTTTTAATTTGTGCTTGTGCACGACTGGCAACGCATTATAGCCAACTTATTTGTTCAATATTTGGCATGAGTATGACCAATGCTTTGCTATTTATACCAACTTGGTCCGTGTTTCTCCAGAAAATTGGTGGAAATTTATGATTAGGGGCCAAAATGTTTACAAATGTTTATAAAAAATAAATTTACCTATTACGATGTTGCAATAGATAAACTCCGTACTCCTGTGACCAGTCATGCTTTGCGTGCCAAAGAACCCGTGAATGTTATTATGTAAGATCATAATAGAAGCTTTGAATATTTAATGACCCTTTATGACAACACTACATGTCAGTATACCGTTCTAACAAGGAAAACCACTTCATCCAGATAAAGCTGGAGGCTGCACGTGTTGGTCCCTGAATTATTTGTGTTCTGTGATGAATCCTAATCGGGGTATTCTGTGCCACTGAGAAAGACTAAGCCAATGATTTGAGCTCCCGTCCTTTGCATCAACCCATGATATAAATGAGAGTGTGAGTGAATTTCTTAAGGACGGTTGCAGACCAGTGAATATTAATGCAGTAAATGATGATGGTGGTGAGACTTTTCAGTTTTATATTGCTTTACAATTTTCATAACGGACCAGTTACAAAGGAATTCCAGAAACAAACTAGTTGGACATATTCGTGGCACAAATTTAAACTGAATCTGTGAATCTGACATTTAAACAGTGGTAAGTGAAAGTGGCAGCAAATGTGTTCAGAAATGATGATTCATACAAAAAAATACAAACCAAGGCACATTAATGGGACAAAATTACAATAGCATTTACCAACCAACCTTAAACAGAATCCCTCCATATGGTAATAATGAATGACTGACAATAGAGGTTACAGGACTATGCATATAAACATATTTTAAATTTCCTCTGGAATGTACTTCTGAACCACAATTTGCCTCTTCCCTGGTTCTTTCGGTAAAGTCACGTAGAATGAGAATAAAATAATAAATTGATAAAATAAAATAACACAATAATATTCAATTTATTATTTTATTCTCATTCTACGTGACTTTACCGAAAGAACCAAAGAAGATGAATCCTTGCAGTCACGAAAGCTTTAAATCACAATTTGCCTGTATTATGGTGGATGCTAAGTTACCTGAACTGCTGACTTATGTCCAAACGCCTATACGACATTATATCAATGTTTAACAAGCACACGGATTAAGCAAGGCTTCAATACGTTGGGCTAGAATAGCGAATATGGGTACTACTTCAAGGTAAGTTGTATGACAGAAGGGTGAGACTGAGTTGCGGGGGAAATAGGGCATTTTACTGGTAAGTAAACATGGGGTTCGGGCTGTCACACAGGCAAATTTGAAAAGTAATATTTTCCAGCTAAATAACGTAGACAATTCATTTAGGCTGATTGGGTGATGGATAACATTCCATGAGCTGTTTTCTGGTCACCCAGTCCAACCCTGAATGAAAATAACTTAGGAATCAAACTGTCAGGCTTGTGTAACAAAGCAGCTAATTTCAGGATGAGAAAAGATAGCATTTGTGGAAATCAAGTAGTTAATGACAAATTAATCCAGATTCTAAAGTCTAATGTTATGGAGAGCAACGGGCATTGCTGTGACTTTTAAAGTAGGTCATATATTTATGTTCTCATATTTATATTTTCCGAAAATCACGTGGTCAATCAATTGCAGTTAAAACCACTTGACTGCCAGTATGGCTCAATGATACCTCATTTGTCAGTGCCCGATTATATATTGGGAAGTCAGGATGCAGAGACATGTATATGCATTTTATTAACCTATATACGTAGGGGGATATGAGGTGACATTTACATATTGGCAGTGAGCCATTAATGTCTGGCACAGCGCTCTGTATATGCAGTTTTATGTTGGCTGCGCCAAAATTGAGTGTCTGCCAGTTTTACATGGTCCTTGGCCAAAGTGTGACCCATGTCTATAAAGTTCCAGGAAATTAACGTGCATTATCTCGCAAACCGTTTACCCAGCTGTGTCTCGATATGAATGTGTCTGTCCTCAGTATTGTCCACGTATTGGTCTCTATGTCTTTATCTTCGTCTTTACTTCACTCCCATTATTTATATTCTGGCCTCTCCCACATCCACTACCCCGACCTGGCTTCCCCTACATTTTCGATCTATATCACTCACATCTTTTTTTCTCCCTGTTTCTCATTGCTTTCTCTCAATCATTCCATTAATCATTCTCTGCAATAGGGCTGTAGAGAAAGGAGAAGAATGAAGCTCAATTGGACGGGATGCTGGCAAATCCCCAGCATAACTGTCTGAATTAACATACTAAGCAATATTTGGACGGTCCGCATGGGACACGGTAGACTCGTCAAGTATGTACATTTCATAATTTACACTGCAGGTGGCTATTGACTAAGATGGGAGGCCTAAAAAACGCAGCTCCTCACCCCAGCCGACAGCCCTTGAGTACAATGTTTGGCGTCTCATGGGGCCCCTGACTTTGAACTTTAAAACGACCCCTGTGAAGATGGTGCAAGTCGCGGCACATTAGCGTCAGATTAAGGCATGAAGGAACCCTGGTGCAGGGTACACCAATCCTCATTGGAAGGCCTTGACTAGCTGGGATTGGGGTTGAAGAGGTCCTAGGGGAATTGGAGAGGTGCTGTGGGGTCAGGGAGAGTTGCTCCTAGCAATAGTAGCAGAGTATCATCTATTGCAGACGAATAGGATCTCAAAACATAAGCTAAACATTCAGAGGCCCTATTTGTTGACAGTGCATGATACTCTATTGATATCAGGCAGTGTCACTGCACGTGCATGCAGACGACAAGTCAGGACACCAATTAATGTGATCTGTTAACTACGATAACTACACCTGCCATTCTCTTACTGTTGGAAGTCAGAAAATAATTCATATGCTCTCCGTACTCCTGTGACCAGTGATGCTTTGAGTGCCAAAGAACCCGTGAATGTTATTATGTAAGATCATAAAAGAAGCTTTGAAGATTTAATTGCCCTTAATGACAACACTACGTGTCAGTATACCCTTGTAACAAGAAGGAAAACCCAATCATCCAGATAGAGCTGGAGGCTGCACATGTTGGTCCCTGAATTATGTGTGTTCTGTGATAAATCGTAATCGGGGTATTCTGTGTCACTCAGAAAGGCTAAGCCAGTGATTTGACCTCCCGTCCTTTGCATCAACCCATGATGTAAATGAAAGTGTGGGTGAATTCCTTAAGGAGGATGGCACGTGCCCCCCCAATGATCCGATCAAAATCCCTAATTTCCATCAGATCATTGGTGTTTATTAGTAATAAATCGGCATTTTGCGACCCCTACTGCCACTGTGTGGCATATTATTACATGCCAGGGACTCTATGAGATGATAGGACAATAGTCTGAGTCCATAATTGCCAATAAGTAATGGCAAAACAGTTATAAGTGACTCAGAATTGTGCGCAGTTGCGTATACAGAGGACACGACTTCCCTGAAGGCATCAACACCTTCAGCGAGCGCGATGCCGATCACACAACGCGGTTCGAATTCGACCCTCGATCGATGGCTGTGCCATCGCCGGACACGCGTCGAATAAAAAGCAAGGGACAAGTCCTTACCGACTAATGCAGCCCTCGTCTCCTGTAGAAGGAAACGTGACTTTGTGAACTGCGACCTCAATGTTGTGCACATATTATCCCCTTCCTCCTAAATGTAACTATCGTCTTGGTTTAGGTAATTTAAGACATGAAAGTGAGAAAAACACAAGTGAAGCCTAACCTCACTGCTTCCGTTTTTATTTTCACCACAAAATATTCAAATAATATAACTATATCCATTGCTCACCAAGCTAAAGGCCACACTCCTTTTTTAAAGGTCTCGGTCCATCCCATATGCCGACCGACTCTATTCATCCATTGTAACGGATGTACCATTACGATAATATAACGGTCCTTCAGTTACTGTGCAAAGCCTCCACTGAGTCTCAAGATGTATTCTCACGAGCATTTCGCTTGGGCCATTCGACCAATCCGTCGGCGAGTATTTTAGCGCGAGACCAAAATGTAGCGCCTGCACAGAAACAAAAAAAAAACAATCGCACAGTTGAATAACACTCACGAATCTATGTATACGGATTGGTCAGCCACCTGCTGCCAATCAAGGTGGGCGCCCCATGCCCAACCGTGGCCTGTGCGATCTACCAATAGTCTGCAGAGCCGCCACAGCATGAGCTCAGGCTCCACACTGGCACCCAGCGCGACTCAGAGTCCGCTGCTCACAGTGTCCGCCTCCTCGCTGTCGGCCTGCCCTGGCTGGCAGCTCGGCAGGGACTTGAGGTACTCGAGATGGCGCCGCGTCTCGGCCTGGTTGCGCCGCACGTACACGACGACGTAGACGATGACCATGGCGAACCATGCGGCCATCGTGAGCAGCATGGCCACGTCCGTGGTCCGGCGCCGTCGCCCGCCGGCGACCGCCGAGCCCCCGCACAACGCGGGCAGGGCCCGGCTGAGGGTCTTCCCCGCCAGCTCGGGCACGAGCGCCGTGCGACACAGGGCCTCGCCCACCGGGTCTGCGTCCATGACGCCCGAGAGGGCCTGCTGCAGGGCGCAGTCGCAGTGCCATGGGTTCCGGGAGAGCCTCACGCGCACGCTCATCATGCCCTGCGCACGCACAGCACAAGCCGCGGCGGGTTGCACACTCTGCAAGGGCACACAGCGGCAGCTGTCGATGGAATCGTCGTGCTTGGTCTGTGGAATCGCGACGTGTCTCCAAAGCTCAGGCGAGGGAGGGTTCTTGCAAACTTTGTGAGCGAGCCAGTAGAAGGTATTTCACATTCCCATGACATTTACGAGTATATACATATAAATGCACTTTTTTTAAATTTTAAATCAAGGAAGCGATTTTTTCAAATATAAATTTCAGCCCCAGGGAGGAATCTGCCTGTGATGATAATCATTTCAACATCCCCTACAAATAAAGGGGTCTAAGCAGCTATAATCGTAATGGACATATGTAAACAACCTTTCAACTCTGGAATATATTTAATGTAAATAATTAACAATATAAAGCGAATCAACAACTCTCTCAAAATATCTAATATTTCTTCTTAAAAAGGTGTCTCGTTTTACTACGAAATCGTTTTGAACCTTTTCAAACATTTAATAACTACATGGCCCCCAATGTGGAATTTCCACCACTGGCTTGTTCCCACAAATAAGAGATGAAGCATCACCCCATACTCATTTGACCAGGGAGACACCGATTTTTAAGTTGGCTACACGCATTTGCTGCAAGTTTGTTTATTGGACAACTCCTGTGCAGGCTCTTATTTATTTATTATCTTGGTAATTTTAATATTTATTTAAACATAAACTCAATGTGGTGTGTGTGTGTGATTGCAGTCTGGAATTTTTTATTCCTAAATGTTTTTGACTGATATATATAGCCTGAACAGACTGCTGGGGCAAGTGTTGTTAGCGAGCACTTAAGAAGGCCGGTATGGCACACGAGGAGGTGGGTGGCCAAACACCATGCTTGGCTGCCTTTGTCTCCCCAGTGCTGATGTTTACACACTGCACCAGGTACTCATTAAAGGCTGAGTTGACATAGATGAGACCCTGGAACGGTTTAAATATTTGTCATGGGTATTGGCTGTGAGTGGGAATGGAACTCGGGTCGCCAGGTGACACATGTGTTAGAGCTCCCAACTCACGGACTGAGCGACGGTTGTGGGTTTGAATCCTTGTCGGAGTTTGACTCGGGGTTTTGTATTGTTTCAGGGTCATTAAAATGTAAGCATTGCCTCGTGGGAATCAACAGTGGTGAGACTGAAGAGAAATTGACCTTTGCCATAAGAACATGGACTTTATATGAGCAGCAATATGTTTGAGCAGATACGCTTTTCCTTATTTGTAAGGACACAAAAGAATCGTGAGGAAAGCCTAGTTTGGTCTAGAACTTGCAAAACATGATGATCAGCGCATGTAAACCGAATGTGAACTATCTGCATTGATGTTCTTGTGCAGCTTGTAATGTAGTGAGCTGGCGAAAGCCTGTTATGTGTAACATACTGCACTGATTTGGGAGTGTCGTCATGGAGCGGAACAGAAAACATTTAGGCTCTAATGTTCAAATAAACGTTCATTACATAGATTAATACATCATTTATTTTCCACATCCGTTCAGTATTTTTTTTTATCAAAGCACTTAATGGGCTGTAAAAGTTGTACTCGAGATGGAGTCCCAATCCGCCATTCCAAATTATAAAGATATCCACAGATAAAATGTTCACAAATTTATGTTATACTACATTATGCAGAGTATTGACTTACCAGTCTACATTGCAAAGGACAGAATTCCATTTCCCTGGACCTTTCTGTGGTTTAATTTAAAAAAAAGTTAACTGTAAAGTGAGTGGGAATCATGATATGTGAAAGAATGGCCTTGGACATAAAATTACTATAAAACCATCTCGGACAAACAACACTGAGGCACTTTATACAAGGTGTTCCAGATGTCTTACGACCCCCATTTCAGTCTCTAAATCTTCATATTTTTTTAAGTCATGTTTGCTCAGAACAGGAATGAATATGCAAAGCTCTTTTTTCAGAAGCGACCTGGCCACAAATGATAGCTCAACGAGTTGGCTTATGTGGAAATGTATAGAATATTCTTTGTTTTTTTCCGGTAAAGTCACGTAGGTAAACAAAATAAATGAAAAATAAATTAAATCACGACGTTTCGGGCGCATCACAAACGTCCTTCTTCAGGTGAGGACAACGTAGCGACAGCACAAACGCTTAAGTGTGTCTCAGAGATGGCTGTGACGAGGGATTGTATAGTCGCGGGGCATGGAGGGATGGGGGGGGCATGGTGAGTGTGGGGGCGCGGTGTGGGCAGGGAGGACAAGTTGCAAAACCGAGGGTGCACTGGGAGGCAACTGGTGGAGCCGAGACTGAGGCTTTGTGATGTAGATGGCGGAAGTAAATAAGCAAGCCAAATGACGAAAGTATCATCCACGTATCTCTTCCACAGGGAAGGACACAGGGTGGATGTCTGGATGGCGTCCGCTTCAAATTTCTCCATGAAAACATTGGCTATCACTGGTGACAAGGGGGAACCCACAGGGGTGCCCTCATTTTGTTTGTAGAAGGTACCATTCTAGGTGAAGTCAGTGTTGGTGAGGCAGTGCCTAACCAGCGCAGGGACATCAGGGTTCAGTCCATGTTGGACTAAATCTTCAATTATTATCATGGTGTCAGACAAATAATCTAAACGCATGTTGATGATAAATGTTGAGGAAAAACCCACAGGACCCAGAGAAAAATCCATGCGACCACAGGGAGAACATGCAAACTTCAAATATATCGGCGTCAGGGTCAGGATTGAACCCATGTCCTCTGGGACAACCAGGTGAGGTATTTAATATTTCACCACCGTGGCCTCAAGATATTATGAGGACCAAGAGCTTTTTTTTTACAAACCCTGTGCAGTGATTGTGAAGATATGTCCTTAAGAAATACAAGGTGTGGTATTTAGAATGTTTTGTTCAATCAGATTTTGTCTTCCACGCTGGCTAACATAAATATTTTCTGGGTTTCATGGCTTGCTAGCCGCGCTGGTAAGGGCACTTCAAGACAGCCACATTTCAAGTGCTGCAGGGAAACAGTGAGAAATTAAAAGAGCACATGAATAAGACAAGTTTTTTGTGACTAATCTCAGGAATCTATTCTTGTCAAATGCCTGTCAGCTAAAATAATGCAATGGTCATGTAGTTTCTATTTATTTCTTGAGCCAGGATATTGTTTTTTCCCCACAGTAAATTTATGAGAGGACCAAAGAATACAGTAGATATCAAGTGGATTCTGGGTATTTATGTATGTATGTAGAACTTCTTTCATTCCGTACATAGCTAACTGAGGTGCGGAGAAAGGCCAAAACTAAATACAAAAAGCAGTTCTAAAGAAATTAGTTTTCAATCTAGATTTTAAAATGCATAGCTCCAGTGGGGCTTCCTAATATCAATACCTGGTAATATCAAGTTATTTTGACATCCATTGCCTACAAATTGTAAGTTATAGAGGACACCAGCAACACGTACATATATTCGTAAAGTGTGTATACATTAATGTATCTGTGTGTAAACTTATAATTCAACAGATGAGATAAAATATTGATGTGTCCTCATATTGGAACTACAGTAACTGTCTGAAGGTTATAAGACAATAAAATTGGTGGATGAACATCTATATATATAAAAGGGAAATTTCCAGACTGTACACCATGCAAAAATGATCAAAAATAGACTTTGGTATATTTTTTTGGGGGGGGGGCGGGGGCGCAATAATGCATATATTTTACACGGCAAGAGAGCTGTGACGTCACATCTGTCACGTGACCCGAGTGCGAATCCCGCTCACGGCCACCACCAGTGACGATGAATTGAACCGGTCCTGGGCCTCCCCTAGGTCGACTCAGCCTCAAACGAGTAACTAGTGTGGTGTGTGAACATCGCCACTGGGGAGACAAAGGCGGCCCGGCGTGGTGAATCCAAGTCCCGGGCGAAGCCGGGTAATAAAGCTAGTTATGTATAACAAAATGTTTGAGAATGTATGCAGTTAAAAAATTACAAAGGGCTTTGTGTCCCAGCGTAATCATTTTTAAAAGTCCTGTAGAGGCATGACACCTTAATGTATTTAAATCTTAAAATGTCGATCAGTAATGCCCTTGTAAATTTACGTAATTGTCAAGATTATCTTAATGGATTGTGTACACTTCATAGTCTTGCTATAAATGGCAGGGTGATGCATCAATATAACAGCTTTTTACCAAGAGAAGACCACACGCTGGAAACTTGGGGTTCTTTTGAGTAAGTGGATGTGCCTTAGGCGATGGTTGAGCTAAACCACAGCGCCTGCTGGGAAAACGAATGGGGCATTTTTCCTGCTTAAGACATAATACTCTAGCCTAGAATCGAGGATGTCGTGGGGTTTCTTGTATGTGATCAAATGGTCACCTTGGAATGGCATCATAGCTAAAACTCAGGATTAAGGATTGTCTATTGGTGCCCTTGGACCCCATGAACGATGATCGTAATTAAGATAGCAACACTCAAAAACCATGAAAAGACGTATACGTATTCTTGGTTCTTTCGGTAAAGTCACGTTGAAGGGAAACAATAAAATAATAAAATATATATAACATAGTAAAATTCTCACGACGTTTCCACTGCAACACAAGCAGTCATCATCAGGTGATGATGGTGATGATGACTGCTTGTGTTGCAGTCGAAGCGTCGTGAGAACTTTACTGTTTTATATATATTTTATTGTTTCCCTTCAACGTGACTTTACCGAAAGAACCAAGAATATGAATCACTGCAGTCACGAAAGCTTTAAATAAAGACATATACAGTACCGTAAAAAGCCTATATTTAGCACCAGTGCGAACAGCACATTTTAAAGAGAATATATAGAAATATTTTGCTAGATAAGAGCTACCACATTTCTTAAATTGAGCAAGGTCATACAATTTTGGGGAAAAGAGAGGATTGAAGGAAATTTCTAAATCGAGCAGTGCGAGCGAAGAAGCAGAAAGGGAAGTCGCCGAATAGGGTGAATGAGACGAAACAGATTGGTAGTCCTCAACAAGGGTACGGTAA